TGCCTAATGTTGTTCCTTATTATTTCCAAGTTTTCGTAAATGCGTTCATGCGGCTATGCGAGTAATGATCAAACTTTCACAAACTTAGGCATTTTACATGCAGCCCTCGCTATATTATAGATATATTACCAAGCCATCGCCAACCAGGAAAACAGACTGGTTAATACCGTTAACGTAAAAACATTCTGCTGTTCTCCATGATAGCGTACCGGATAGTATCCTATAAAGCTAACGCTACATTGTCGAAGGAATAAAACGCATCAGATTTCCCATGGCACAAATGCTCAATAATCGACGTACTAATGTATGCGTAAATGAACTAGTGTATTCCTGATATAAATGACTCTACTTGGGTGCTTATGTAAGGAGCATTCATAGACCTATTGCAGTTACGTGCTAAGTAACAAACGTGGATTGCGTATGCTGGCTAAACGCTTTTTTATTGTTTTTTTTCCTGCGATTCTGCCAGAAAACCTGCAAGTGCTCTTTGAGATGGTGTGCTCACGGTCGTTCCTTACAGGAAACATAAAGTGCTATCAATATTTCAGGGCTTCTGTAAGGCATGCATGTAAGTGAATATGTGCCCTCAGTAGCTAAGTCTGTAACTCTATTTGTCAGCTGCCTCCACCCATAGTTAACTGCGTGCTTTAAGCCTGGGGCTAGCTGCTAGTTGGCGTACTTATCAGACACACTAACAGCTGCTGAGTGTACTGGGAGTCAGGCAGTGATAGCTCCAATAGTAGAGAAGATGCGAGTTCCAGGATGCAGTTCAGACGAAGATGATACGATTACTGGAACAGAGTTTTCTTTACCTGACGTTTCGGATTCCCTCGGGAATCCTTAATCATAGCTGATGATAACAAAGTCATGTTCATGCGCAGATGGGTTGGATACATGCACAGGCCGCACGGTATTTAGAGTTCATAGCGGTCATCCGCGTGTGTGTGATAATTGTCCACTTCTGTAACCATCGCTTGGATCTTAATTGACACTTAGCATTCGACTCACCAATTGCCATGATTACCTTGTCAA